AGGCGCTAGAGGTACCACTTACACTTAATGAACTAAAGTTGGCCGTTTACAGGCTGAAAATGCGGAAGTCATCAGGAGCAGATGGTATATCTAACAAAATGATCAAAAACGTAGGAACAGTGGCCAAAACAAAGCTTTTACAGATATTTAATGCTTGCTGAGCAACAGGAAATGTTCCACAGATCTGGAGAGAGGCAATTATGATACCCCTCATAAAGCCTGGGAAAGACAGTTCCAATGCCTCCAACTACAGACCGATCAGCCTCACAAGCTGTCTCTGCAAAACAATGGAGCGCATCACCAACCTCAGACTACAGTGGTACATTGAAAGTGAAAACATCATTACACCGCAGCAGGCGAGCTTTAGAAAGTTCTACTCTACGGAAGACCAGACAACATACCTCTCCCAAAAAATAGAGGATGCTTTTCAAGACAAGAAACTGGTACTCGCGGCATGGATAGATGTAAGGAAAGCTTTTGACAAGGTTTTGAAGAAACTGAGAAATGGAAGTAAATGGAAGAAAGTACAATTGGATTAAAGCATATCTACATAACAGAAGAGCCCGGGTACAGGTAGATGGTTTCAAAAGTGAAAAAGTTCTACTGCGACATGGCGTCCCTCAAGGTGGTGTCCTGTCGCCCACACTTTTCCTCTTATTCATCAACGACCTGGTTGCTGAAATACCAAATGGAATCAAAATGGCAATGTATGCCGACGACCTGGTACTGTGGTGAATCGATGAACATGCAACAATAGCCACAAGAACACTACAGCGGGCTACATATGCACTTGAGGCATGGGCGAATAGATGGTGCGTCAGTATCAATACAGACAAATGTAGCACCACGCTCTTCACTCTTTCCCCAAAGCAAAAAGAGGGCATCATCAAAATCAACAGAATACCCCTAACAGTTGAAAATGAGCCCACGTACCTCGGAGTCACATTTGATGACAGGTTGACATGGAGAAAACATATCAACAAGGCAGCAACCAAAGCCAGGAGGAAGACAGCCATACTAAGAAAACTAAGTGGAACCACATGGGGAGCCAGTAGGAAAATACTCAATAAAGTATACAAGCAGAGCATAATTCCACACTTGGAATATGGGTCAACTGCATGGTGTTCAGCATCTAGTACCACATTAGAGGAGTTGGACAAAGTGCAGAATCAAGCACTCAGAGTCATCACAGGAGGGATGAAATCAACCCCCATAGAAATGGAGAAAGCTGAGAAAACACAGGCACTGAGAGAACGCAGAGATACAAAGTTGCAAATACAAGCTGAAAAGTTTCTCAGTATGCCTGATCACCCCATGAAAAATAGATTTCAGAACCTAGCCTTGGGACGGTTAAAATGAAGCAGCTTTATACATCAAGCAAAAAGAATATGTAGACAAACTGCTGACCTTCCAGAAATTAGTTGTCCACTTAACAGTATTCCAGAACAAACCCCATGGAGAGAGAAATGCAAACTAACAGTACAAATCCAGACAAATGTGAAAGGAATATTCGACAAGAAAGAACAAGATAGTGTACAACGCAGAATGGATACACTCAGTTATATTGATGAAGAATACCCACAAGAACAATGGGTCAGAGTCTATACAGATGGGTCCGCAGAAAGTGCAGTTAGAAATGGTGGTGCTGGAGTGTACATAGAATTCCCAGATGGTACTAGAGATAAGTCCAGCGCACCAACCGGAAAGTACTGCCATAACTATGATGCAGAAACTCAGGCTATCAAGATAGCAACAGAGAAACTGCTAAATACCAATCTTGGCTCCCAGTTTATAATAATGCTGACAGACGCAAAATCAGTACTATCCCAGTCTAGGAATCTACCAGAATTGCAAACACTGCTGACACAACTTAGCCTTCAGCAAAGAGTTGTAATGCAGTGGATACCATCACATTGTGGAGTGCCTGGAAATGAGAAAGCTGGTCAACTGGCAGGAGAAGGTGTGTCAAAAGTACAGCCGGATGTACCAGTCACATACCACCAAAAGAAAAGAATTATTGAATCAATCAGGAAACCACCAGCCCCAGCACAAGACGACTATTTTATTATGGACAGACCAGAACAAGTCATTATCCTCCGCCTCAGAACAGGGCACAACCGATTACGTAACAACGTGTACACAAAATTCAAGACAGGTGTATCAGCCATGTGCACCTGTGGAAAGGTGCCCCAGACAGCAGAGCATGTACTCCAGGACTGCACCGAATTTGACACATTAAGGCAAACCTTTTGGTCAGAAAGAACAACAGTGGAACGTAAACTCTATGGACCACTGAATGAATTAACAACAACAGTGAAATTTATACAAGAGACAAAATTGCTGATATAGACAACTCATTTCAGGCGAACGTAAGAAACAGAAGAAGGCTCCCAGACACTAGTGATCTCTTCATGCCACCGCAGTTGTCTGATGATGAAAGTGGAAGAAGAGGAATAGTTTAATAGTGAAAGTAAAAAACAAGAGGTGTGAGAAGATAGTTTTCTTACTGATGAAAGAGGGAATGTCTTGTGATGAAAATTGAAGAAAAATGTTTTGTCTAATGATGAAAGTGGGAAACAATTGATTTTCTTATTCTCCTTCAGAAAGATTCTTTGAAATTCATGGTAATGACATTTGAATACAATTTATTGCAGCTACGAACTTTGAACTACAGTTCTTGTGACGTTATATCAGAGGCTAGTTCAGCCTATAATTGTATTTGCAGTGGTTATTTTTATGGTGTGAGAAGATAGTTTTCTTACTGATGAAAGAGGGAATGTCTTGTGATGAAAATTGAAGAAAAATGTTTTGTCTAATGATGAAAGTGGGAAACAATTGATTTTCTTATTCTCCTTCAGAAAGATTCTTTGAAATTCATGGTAATGACATTTGAATACAATTTACTGCAGCTACGAACTTTGAACTACAGTTCTTGTGATGTTATATCAGAGGCTAGTTCAGCCTATAATTGTATTTGCGGTGGTTATTATAACACATGCTCTCCCAAATAGATGAACTAACTGGCAACAGTAGAAAAGGAAGTTTTTTTTTGTCTTCACTGGCCATAAACTCTGGCAGAAAATTCTGGCTGTTTGTACACTTCTGAACTTTGGTCCTGTTCCAGAACTTGCACTTTGCATGCACATCCATTTCACAGACTTGGCTTATTTCTATGCAGACTGTTGGTTCCTAGCTATAACCCGTGTATTCTATTTGTCATGTTTGGTCTGTGTGTGCTAAGGAAATCTGGCTCAATATAGTACTATGCAGCACAGTGTGTGTTGTGTCATTCAAAGTGACACACTGATACTTTGATACTGTGTTTATTGTGCCAGGTGATTTCACAGCAGAAACGCAATCTGGTACAAAGGAATAGGAAGATTCACCTCTGATGAAAAGAGGAAGGGGGGGGGGGCAGTGGTTGGAGGCAGTGGCGCATGAGAAAGAAAAGGATTGGGTGGTTGGTGATGTGCGGTCTGCCAGGTGTCATTGCTGAAGGGGATGATACAATGGCCCCAAAAAAATTTATTTTTAGAACTTAAACAAACAAAACTTGGGGGGGGGGGGGGCTTTTTTTATTTCCAACTGCCAAGGGATTTTTTTTAATGTTCGCAACAATGCACACATGCAGCCGATCTCACTACCCAGAGACCAGGGGGAATTACTAGAAGTCCAAGTCCACGTGAAGAAATCTCAACCCTCACCGGGGATGGAACCCGACACCTCTAGCACTCAGGGCGGACACCAGGCAGCCCCCTAGTCAACATATAATGGTGGTCTACCTACAGTACCAGTCCCTTAAGACATAGAATAAGGACTTTTGAGCTGAAATTATATAAAAAGATTCTCAAAATATCTTGGACAAAGAAGATGAGAAATATTGACATCTTAAAAGATCTGAACACCAAGGACGATTGGCTAATAAACAGCATCCTTTCTCGAAAGCTGAAATATTTTGGTCATATCAAGCGCCACGACGGATTGGAAAAAATTATAGCAGAAGGCTTGGTACCCCAGGAAGAAGGGGCAGGGGCCGACCGACATGAAGATTGGCACAGGATATAAGTGACTCCTTGAATGTGACAATGCATGAGGCGGGAGAACTGGCGAGAGACAGAGTTTCTTTCAGACAGACTGTGATGAGAACGACGTTCTGCAAAGGACCTGCTACATGATGATGATGACATACTGTACCAGGGCTGTCAATGGGATTTGTTTTAAAAAACCCAGCTAAGCTGAACAAAAACCCAAGCAATATATAAGCAAAGAACAATTTAAAAAAAAGCGCTGTTAAAAGGTACAAATTTTATAGTCAGGAAACGAAACATTTACCCACTTTTATATAAAAGTTTTTTAAAAACCCAGATTTCAAAATTTGAACCCAAGGCGTCAACCCCCCCCCCTCCCCCCAGATCTGGGGGTAAAACCCATCACTGGCAGCTCTTCACTGAACATTATCCGCGTTGTTGTAATTGTTGCGCGGACATTTTCCAGACATACTTTTCATTCAGTCTGGGATCTGCCGATGTGACCTTTGACCCCAGCCCTCCTGTGGTCTGAGGGTGCGCGGCGACGTTTCTGTGTTTGGTTTGTTTGGACGGGCATTGATCAAGTGTCACACCTCCTTAAGTGTTTGTCCAGCTGTTGATGCAGTCAATTAGTCAGATGTATTTCTCGATCGATACGCAGTTAGTGCAGCGAAACATGCACCTTATATCACTGAAAGAAATGAAATAATAGTTTAATTGGTCATCGAAGCTGGGTGAGTATTGAATGCTGGTGAAGATACGATTACATTTAGTACTACTAACGACGGTCCCGCCCGCTGACATCGGGCTTTTAGAGAACAAGGCCAACTTGTCCGAAACTAGACGTTACACTTGAACACAAAAACACTTTTTAGCGTGTTTAGGTTACACAAGGAGATTTCCAGACTAATCAGTAGAGTTTTGTGACGTTAAATCACTGAAAGGAGTGGCGAGGTGTTGATTGTTGACGAGATGGCAAAGGTGGACAATGTACTCCGGTTAGATCTAACAATCACAGATGACAACGCCCAACAGGGTGCTTTGGACATTTTACATTTCATCAGACCTGATTGGATTCCAGAAAGGATCAAGTTCAAAGTGAGTAGTTTTGAGGTTTTGTTAATCTCTGAAATGTGTTCTAGTTATTTCCTTTCATTTACTTACACACCAATGGGACTTCCAAATACCAGTCCAAAGTTCACTGTTTAAAAAATCCAGCTCTACTTGGAATAACGGTTCTAAATGAACTACGCAGAAAGTTAATCCCAAACAGAGCCTCATTACGTCCTGCCCTACAAACATTTAAAAGCTGTAACTCGGGAAATATAAGGAACGGAAAGTATCAGGCAAAGGGCACAGTCTACTACTTACCGAAAATTAAATCCTTGATATGTGGAAATTGTGGCACACTAGTTGCAAATAGTGCGCGAATATCTGTTGTTTCTCGCTGTCCGCTATCGCAACTCAGCACGGCCTGTCCGCTATTCTCGTTTCCAGTGAGACGTGATCAGCTCTAATGCGCAGTTTAGTGTATGCATATGTCGCCACGGAAAACGTCTAACCAGCAGCTGCTGCGATGGTGCTGGTAGTTCCGACAGACGAAGTAGGTCTTGTAAATTGTTGACTTTTTTCTGGCAACTACAGTGCCACCTCCGAGAGTATCCCCCGCGCCGCTACGCGCGGAACGGAAGGGACTTAACTACATGGCTAGGACTCACGAGCAAATACATTGGAGGAAGCTGCAGGAGCTGCGGTAGCTGCTGCTCTTGAGTCATAGCCATCTAGTTTAGCCCCTTCTGCGCCGCGCGTAGCGGCGCGGGGGATACTCTCAGAGGTGGCACTATAGTCGGTGAAAAGCGGTCCGCAACTTACATATAACTCGGACCGTGCCGTACGATATCGCTATCGGGAGTATTCTCGAGTGTCGGTAATTTTTTTTCGTCCCTAGTTAATCCTAGTTTTGCCGCTGTGTAACCGCCGTGAAAATATTCGTTGCGTTTCGCGATAATGTCGTCCACAGTTAATCCTACTTTTCACACGGCTGAATCGCCGCAAAACAAATGCGCATTTTACACATGAGTGAGCCTCTGTGTGGGTTAACTGTCTGCGTTGCGAGGCTCTGTTTGGGTTAACTTTCTGCGTAGTTCATTTAGAACCGTTATTCCAAGTAGAGCCAAAAATCCCATTCAGGGCCTCTCGAGGTTGTATATTTAAAGTTCTGGAATAGTAACACTACAAACTGTGCTTAACATTATTAAATAATTTCATTTGAACCAACATGTTGTGGTGGTTGGCATGTCGAGTTCTGGTTTACAGCTAGGCTGCGATATATGCGCCTTTCGCCTCAACACATCAGATTTCAGCCAAGTGAAACGGTGGCCGTTGCATTTTTGCTCCATTTGTAGACTGAAAGGCTATAGTTTCGTCACCCAGCCCCAGCACAAGACGACTATTTTATTATGGACAGACCAGAACAAGTCATTATCTTCCGCCTCAGAACAGGGCACAACCGATTACGTAACCACATGTACACAAAATTCAAGATAGGTGTATCAGCCATGTGCACCTGTGGAAATGTGCCCCAGACCGCAGAGCATGTACTCCAGGACTGCACCGAATTTGACACATTAAGGCAAACCTTTTGGCCAGAAAGAACAACAGTGGAACGTAAACTCTATGGACCACTGAATGAACTAACAACGACAGTGAAATTTATACAAGAGACAAAACTGCTGATATAGATAACTTATTTCAGGCGAACGAAAGAAGAAGAAGAAGCCAAGTCCCAGTTAGTCCCCTTTTACAAAACACTTTTTTGGTGGCAGTTGGTCTAATCTCTATAATCTTTTTTTCCTCCTCAAATATGTGGCCCTGGAACCCACAAGGTGAGTCACAGGTAATGTGAACAATGGATCAAAAATCATTCCTCCTCACGTCGCTTTAATGGATCGAAAACTACTCCTCACTACGGTGCTTCAAAAATGAATCAAAATCAATTACTCCCCATGACGCGTCAATGGATAAAAAATTATTCTTTCCCACTGCGCTTAGTGTAACGTCTAAACATTGCTATCCATCGAGCAATAATGGCAGAAGTGGAAACTGATAAGGGCCAAATTTTTTTTTTCCTACATAACCTCTTGAGGCTTTCTAAGGGATGTTTTTCACAGTAAATAATTTGGGGCCGGTATACGGAAGAGTGCCCTAATGGTCTAATGAGTCGTTGTTGTTAGAAGTAAGTTAACACCCCTTTACAGGCACATATGGTGCTAGACTAATATTTTTCATACACTAACATAACGCCAACTACCTTTATTTCCCTGGACTTTACCTGCTACCCATTTAAGACTGGATGACCTGGAGCCAAGTCATGTTATAACAAAAAATCAGGCTCCATGGAGATTTGAACCTCCAACATTTGGAACTGCAGGCAAGCATCAAGCTGCTACACCACGGTGGCTTCTGCTGTGTATCATATTGCTAGATATGTATTTTTACGAAATCAATGTTGTTTTGAGGTTGTAATGTTTATTTACCATTCATATATGCTAGGAGGTGTCTGGGTTATTAGATGTCAGACATACACATACTACAGCATGTCTGGGTAACTAGAGAACAAACATACTATGTTTTGTCTGTCAAATGACATACTGTTTATGTAAATAGAGAGCTATATTTCTGTGTTTTATCTTTCACATAGTTTATGTAACTAGAGAGCTATGTTTCTGGATTTTATGTTTCACATAGTTTATGTATCTTGAGAACTATGTTTCTGTATTTTTTCTTTCACATAGTTTATGAAACTAGAGAACTATGTTTCTGTGTTTTATCTTTCACATAGCTTATGTAACTAGAGAACTGTGTTTTTTCTTTCACATAGTTTATGTAACTAGAGAGCTATGTTTCTGTGTTTTATCTTTCACATATCTTATGTATCCAGAGAACTATTTTTCTGTGTTTTATCTTTCACATAGTTTATGTAACTAGAGAGCTATGTTTCTGTGTTTTTTCTTTCACATAGTTTTTGTAACTAGAGAACTGTGTTTTATCTATCACATAGTTTATGTAACTAGAGAACTGTGTTTTATCTTTTACATAGTTTATGTAACTAGAGAACTATGTTTCTATGTTTTATCTTTCACATAGTTTATGTAACTAGCGAGCTATGTTTCTGTGTTTTTTCTTTCACATAGTTTATTTAACTAGAGAACTGTGTTTTACCTTTTACATAGTTTATGTAACTAGAGAACTATGTTTCTGTGTTTTTTATTTCACATAGTTTATGTAACTAGAGAGCTATGTTTCTGTGTTTTATCTTTCACATAGTTTATGTAACTAGAGAACTGTATTTTATCTTTCACATAGTTAATGTAACTAGAGAACTATGTTTCTGTGTTTTTTCTTTCACATAGTTTATGTAACTAGAGAGCTATGTTTCTGTGTTTTATCTTTCACATGGTTTATGTATCTAGAGAACTATGTTTCTGTGTTTTTTCTTTCACATAGCTTATGTATCCAGAGAACTATGTTTCTGTGTTTTTTCTTTCACATAGATTATGTAACTAGAGAGCTATGTTTCTGTGTTTTATCTTTCACATAGCTTATGTAACTAGAGAACTGTTTTATCTTTCACATAGTTTATGTAACTAGAGAACTATGTTTCTGTGTTTTTTCTTTCACATTGTTTATGTAACTATAGAGCTATGATTCTGTGTTTTATCTTTCACATAGTTTATGTGACTAGAGAACTGTGTTTTATCTTTCACATAGTTTATGTAACTAGAGAACTATGTTTCTGTGTTTTATCTTTCATATAGTTTATGTAACTAAAGAACTATGTTTCTGTGTTTTATCTTTCACATAGTTTATGTAACTAGAGAGCTATGTTTCTGTGTTTTATCTTTCACATAGCCTATGTAACTAGAGAACTGGGTTTTATCTTTCACATATTTTATGTAACTAGAGAACTGTGTTTTTTCTTTCACATTTTTTATGTAACTAGAGAGCTATGTTTCTGTGTTTTATCTTTCACATAGCTTATGTAACTAGAGAACTATGTTTCTGTGTTTTATCTTTCACATAGCTTATGTATCCAGAGAACTATGTTTCTGTGTTTTATCTTTCACATAGCTTATGTATCCAGAGAACTATGTTTCTGTGTTTTATCTTTCACATAGTTTATGTATCCAGAGAACTATGTTTCTGTGTTTTATCTTTCACATAGCTTATGTATCCAGAGAACTATGTTTCTGTGTTTTATCTTTCACATAGTTTATGTAACTAGAGAGCTATGTTTCTGTGTTTTATCTTTCACATAGTTTATTTATCCAGAGAACTATGTTTCTGTGTTTTATCTTTCACATAGTTTATGTAACTAGAGAGCTATGTTTCTGTGTTTTATCCTTCACAAAGTTTGTGTAACTAGAGAGAAAATGTTTGATATACTTGGGGTCATCAGGATAACTAGTGGTCATACATATGGCATAAGATGCAATTTCTGAGTAACTACAAGATCAAACATATGACATAAGACTAGGTTTCTGAGTAACTACAAGATCAAACATATGACATAAGACAAGGTTTCTGAGTAACTACAAGATCAAACATATGACATAAGACTAGGTTTCTGAGTTACTACAAGATCAAACATATGACATAAGACAAGGTTTCTGAGTAACTACAAGATCAAACATATGACATGAGTCAAGGTTTCTGAGTTACTACAAGATCAAACATATGACATGAGTCAAGGTTTCTGAGTTACTACAAGATCAGACATATGACATGAGTCAAGGTTTCTGAGTTACTACAAGATCAGACATATGACATGAGTCAAGGTTTCTGAGTTACTACAAGTTCAGACATATGACATGAGTCAAGGTTTCTGAGTAACTACAAGATCAGACATATGACATAAAATAAGATTCCTGAGTAACTAAGAGATCAAACATATGACATAAGACTAGGTTTCTGAGTTACTACAAGATCAAACATATGACATAAAATAAGGTTCCTGAGTAACTAAGAGATCAAACATATGACATAAGACTAGGTTTCTGAGTTACTACAAGTTCAAACATATGACAAAAAATAAGGTTCCTGAGTAACTAAAAGATCAAGCAAATTGCATAAGAGGGAATTTCTAAGTAACTATGGCATCACATGTATGATATACTTGGCATATTTGTATAATTAAAGAATTGACATATGGTATACTAGAGGATGTTTGGGTAACTAGAGAACAAGCATAGACATACAAGGGGTTTCTGGGTAACTGAGGGTTTCACCAACAAACTCCTGGGTTGCTACCATATGACCAGTCCATCTCAGGCTTTACAAGAGTAGTCTGTACTATCTAACTCATGTATTTGTAAAGGTATTCACTGAGGGCTTCACCAACAAACTGCTGGGCTGCTACCAATCTGGAGATGTTGACAACATGGTGCTGGTGCGAGTCAATGGGGAAGGTTCTGATGTCGTTGTCAATAGAGACAGTGAGCTGGAAACATTCCGCTTGCTGTGTACCGCAGGGTGCGCACCACCTGTTTACTGTGTGTTCAACAATGGCATTGCATATGGCTTCTTTCCTGGCCAGCCACTAGATGAGAGGACAGTTAGGTTGCCCAACATTCAAAGGTAAACATTAGCTGATATATTTTTCTGTTGTCTAGTTTTCTGTAAGATACTTTCAGGGATACTACCAGTGCCAGACTTGGACACGATCAAAAACTAACTGTAGAATCAACCCCTGTGAAATTAGATGCCAACAAAACCATCCGAGACAAAGTTAGAAATGGTTTTATCAGGCAGACTGTAGGAACAAAACCATGCAGCAAATTCATTGAGAAACAGGCGATGAAATGGTTTGGTCATCTAGTAAGAATGCAACCAGAACAACTACCAACACAGGCACTACACATGAACAGATCTGAAGTGAAAGCAAGAGGCCGCCCTAGGAGAAGATGGATTGATGACATTAAAGTGCTTCTACATTGAACACGGAATAACAGTAGCCATGGCTGCCCATCAAGCAATGGATTGCCAACTTTTCCTCCTCACAAAACTTAACAGCATAACTGGAAATTGATGATGATGATGACGGCTTTTAGGGCTACTGTTAAGCAGACTAAAACCATTTGCAGAAAATTTATAAGTTGATTGCCAGGCTGGGCTTTAGTCAGAACAGATCACTAGTAGATTATTAATCTTAAACAAATAAAAGAGACAAATTGACATTTATACATTGTTTTTGTGAATGTAAAAACGGCATATGTCTATACATGAGTAGTTAGTTGGTAGGATACTGTCCAGCAGAAATATTTTATGGAAGCCTATGCAGGAATGTGGAATACCAAAAAAAAAAAACATGACCTGTCAATGCATGGAAGATATTTGCAGTCAAACTCTTTTCAAAGAACATCTGGCTTAAAGCTATGCCATGTACCTGGTTCTTTTCAAATTTACCTTCGGGGAAATCAGACAGAAAGTAGAAGAATGTGCTTTGGGTGCAGGGTTGACTGGTCATGGAGGTTGGGGTAGGGGTGATCAAACATGGAGGTATGAACTGACCAAGATTGGAGGCAGTAATAGAACAGATGGGGGTAAGGATTGACCAATGATGGAGTCAGAAATTTACACATCTTAGGGCTAGGGGATGACCAAGCATGGAAGCAGGAGTCCACCAGATGGGTGCAGGGTTGACCAGATGTGCATCTTCTGTGCTGTTTTTATGGACCCTCATGCAAGAATCCTGCCACATGTTCTAGTCCTATGCCCTAAATAATGGCTTGTGTTGGCCTGAACAGAGCTGGCAAGTGAGATCTCAGAGCTGGCAAGTGAGATCTCAGAGCTAACAGGGGATCTCAGAGCTGGCAGGGGATCTCAGAGCTAACAGGGGATCTCAGAGCTGACAGGGGATCTCAGAGCTAACAGGGAATCTCAGAGCTGGCAGGGGATCTCAAAGCTAACAGGGAATCTCAGAGCTGGCAAGTGAGATCTGCTACATGACAAATGTTCAGAAGGCTTTCGATAAAATTGTTTACCACTGGCAGTAAAAGCTTCAGATTGGCTGCAGTCATCCTAGAGTTAGGATTGATGATTCTTTCAAGTGCATCAGCCTGATAGGAGTCATTAGAATGCAGGCAAAGGTTGGTTTGTATGATCAGCCTGGACTTTCTGTCAGAGATTTCAACCAGTGAATGAAATAAACGAGACCAGACATTGAGGGGGGGGGGGGGGGGGGCGGTACCTTTTAAATTCTAAAAAAAACTTATCTCAGCCTGCTCCTGCCAATTCATGGTCATCACTCTCGTCTTCTTTTCATATATGTCTCTGTATGGGTTCCGAAGCATATTTTCGAAGAAAAAAGAATCGACCAACTGGCTCTCTTAAAAGGTGTCATCCAAGACTACTAATTAGGGATTTTCCCTCCGAAGTCAGAGCACGTCTGCCTGAAAGATGAGGAATCAACAACTGCATACAAGTCAGCCAGATCTGTAAAATTGATATGCATGCAGAATTTGAGTTCTGGAACAAGACTAAATTTCAATAGTGGATGAACAACCGGAACTTTTCATTAGACCTTACAGCTGATGAATGCCAAGAAGACGGAGATATATAAGATGGAGCACAACCACTAAGAGTGTTACTGATACCAGACTTCATGAAATACTGCTGTCAGTAATCGGGTAACATTGCAAATGCCCGAACCATACTGAACATAAACATTTATTTAGCAGTGAAAGTTTGCTGCCAGTTAAATCCAAGGTTGCCAGATAGTGACAAAGTGGCAGGAAAACTGGAAATTTAAATTCAAACAGTACAAGTCCTGTTTTGAGTGTATCAGCTGAAGTTTGAATTCATTTCTTGAAGAAGAAGCTGATGTGTTGTTTATTTCCTCCAGGCTTATTGCAGAAGAGGTGGTGAGATATCACGGTGCATGTCAGAGGAATGGCAAGCAGCATAAGATTCCAGTCAGATCCCAGTACAGGGAGAAGGTTCAATACTGGATCAACATCCTTCCCGGTTCTTTTGATGATCCGGACAAGCAGAAAGTGTAAGATTCAATACGTAACCATTGTATGGCCACTTTCACACACACACATGCATCAATGTACACTCACACACACTCTCTCTTACTCTTTCTCTCACACTGGTTCTCTCACTTACTCATTTCTTGCTTTCCCCATTCAGTCTCTCTACCTTCACTCACAGACATTCTCAGTAACCTTTTCTCCCATATTCACTCTCTCCCATAATCATTCTCCCCCAGACTCACTCATGCTATTCAGCACGCACACTCAGTTAGTTTGTTTAGGTGTATGGGTACAGATTTCTTTTAAAAGTAATGAAAGTATGACAGTTGCTTTCTCCAATATGTGAACACTTGTAAAGTTGCCCATTCAGCTTCATATTATGTGTCATTTCATAATGATGTTATGTGACATGATGTAAAGTAATATTGTATATGTTATGTGACATGATGTCAAGTAATATTGTATATGTTATGTGACGTGATGTAAATTAATATTGTATATGTTATGTGACATGATGTCAAGTAATATTGTATATGTTATGTGACGTGATGTCAAGTAATATTGTATATGTTATGTGACATGATGTCAAGTAATATTGTATATGTTATGCGACATGAGGGTCATGGTTGAAATCTGCATCAGGTCAGATTTTTTTCTTTAGAAAGGACAATGGCTTCTAGGTTGACCAATCCTTACATGGGTACCAGCTAAAGACCTGGAAATTCAAGATGACCGGCATGATGTTGACCATACCACCCACCGAGTAGAGATTGGTCTATAAAAGATAGATCTAGTATTGTTTACCCAAAAGGCCTATAGGGCATGGAAAAGGTTCCTTTGCTTTACATATGGGACCTGCCAGACAGTACAGTGTTGTCCTGTAACTGTGTGGCATTCTGACCGCTGTGTCTGAGAGGATGTTGTTTCTGTCCCAGATTTGAGAATGAGATCCCCAAGAGAAATCAGCTGCAGAAGGAGTTGGGTGAGATCGTCGACCACTTGGATTCTCTTGGGATGAACATTGTCTTCAGTCACAATGACCTGCTGCTGAAGAACATCATCTACAATCCACAGAAAGGTAATCCTTCCAGATCTGTTGAGGAAACAGTGCACCCTATCTCATCTTTTAGTTGTCTCAGATCTGTTGAGGAAACAGCCACTTGTATCTCAGTTGTCAGTTGTCTTAAATTATTCAAGTAAACTGTTTCTTGTATATGGAGAAAGCAGAAGAAAAGGAAAGGTTTCTTGCTTGTTATTCTCTAGCTGTCTCAGATTATTCAAGGAAGAGGTCGACTGTGTATGTATATATATATATATATATATATATATATATATATATATATATATATATATATATACACACACACTCGCCCACACATATATCTATATATATATAAAAATCAATGTTTGTTTGTTTGTCACCTTTAGACTTGAAAACTACTGAACCGATTTCGCAGAAATTTTCAGGATATGTTTGTTTTGATGCCAGGATCCTACCTCTCATTTTTAAAATCAGTGGCGAAATTCGTCAGAACGTGCATGCGCAGTAGTTGGGACACACCCCTCTATTTTTTTCCGCTTTATTTCACGAACGAGCGGCTGGCCAAACGGTTAGAACGCTGGGCTCTTGTGCGGGAGACGTGGGTTCGAATCCTCGGTACAGCTGGTGATTTTTTTTTTTTTTACTCAGGGAGCAAAATCCTCACTTGCACAGTCATGGCGACAGCACTAGCCATGCGATCCTAAAAATGTTTACTGTTCTTATATTTTACTAACGCTAGCTCAGCTATACTCAGCTATACTTTTTTGTGTGTGCGCCAGTTATTTGGTTATCAGAAATCTATATATATAATAACTTGGCGACCAGGTGTTGACAGGAGAATGTATGAGAAATTAACCACAAGTTTTTGACATAATATTTGGACAAATAAAGATGTGGAAATATAAACACGTTGGAATTAAAAGTTTTAGGAAAATAAAACCAGTTGTTTCAAAAATGTATGCGAACTACGCGGTGCATCACCATTGCTCGTGACGTATTGATCACATGACCATACATTTTTGAAAGACTGCAGGTATGCGATAAGAAAGAGACAAACACTGTTCTTTGGCCACATGACGAGAAGAGAGACATTTGAGAACATCGCGACAACTGAAAAGATCAGTGGAAAAAGTGGTAGAGGCAGACCAAGGGAGATAATGCTGGATGGGCTGAAAAGATGGCTTGGATGGATATCATCAAGAGAGCTGTTCCAGGCAACCAGGGATTGTAATCAGTGGAGACACAGAGCACATGATGATGATGCAGGTATGCGGGCGAACCAAATGATCAGTAAATGTGACCATGTCGCATACTATGATTTCATTTCAATGTTTCCGTGCTTACGTTCCATTTTCATAGATTTCCATTTATTTTTATTTTCATTTAATTGTTTCGTCTGACATTGTGTTGGAAATAAGCTGTGTCGTTTACCGTAGCGTTCCTTTCGTAATTATAGTATATTTTTACAGTTTTCTGCGCTTTTCACTTCGTTTTTTTTTTCCGTCGCAATTACTTCGATGATGGAAACAGTAGTAAGAGGATTGGTGTGTGTTATGTGAAGCCCCACCCTGGCTCTTGCCAGGGGCCGCAATATAGCCAGGCCATAAATATGGCCAATTGACTGAACGCGGTTTCTTGGACCTCTCCATGGTGATCCTCATCCACATGGTGGCACTTTGTGTCATCGGGTGTTTATCGCTTGTGTGATTTCCTGGTGGGGTAGAAAGTTAAACCGTAGGCTGTCATGGGAAAGACCCTGGTTTTACCACCGGTATGGTAATGGAGTTCTTCTGTCGGGGAAGGGGGGGGGGGGCAAAATTACACATTACCTGACCAGTCAATGGCAACAGTACTAGCCATGCGGTGCCAAATCGTCTGGCTCACCCTGTCTACTCCGATGGAAAAACAGACAGTATTGACATTGTTTTAGTTATTGTGGTGGTGGTGGTGACGGTAGTAGTAGTAGTACTGGTACTTGAAGGATCGTGCGGTAAATATTACATTGGCCGCATTCACTGCTCAATTCAAGCTGCCCATTTTAGTCCAAATGGTCAGGGATGTCAAGGTCAGTTACAAAAAAATATCGTCAGGTTATGACTTTCAATTCCTTCGAAGAGTGAGAGAGTAGTCGGTGGATGGGGGAGGGGAGGTGGTGATGACAGAAATTGTTAACTTAACTCAACTCTTTCAGGCCCACGAATTTTGACAGACTTGGCCCACATTAATTTCCCTTTGCAAAAATGGCAGAGGGGTGTGTGTACAAGAAAGGCAACAGAGAATGTAATATACTTCTAATCCTAATAAAAGTATATACATTTTTAAAGAGAAATGAATGTACATTTTGAATCTGATGATAAGTGTATGTTTAATTTTGTTATAGTTAGTAGGAAAAAAGAATTCAGCAGGTGTTAATTTCACAACAACAACATTTTACAAACAAATTCTTCACTTACCATGGGTTTGCAGCCACAAGAGTCGTAAATATCCAAATCTGAGAACAAAACTTCAAAGTTTGTTCAATTTCCTAACAAATTCCAAAGTTATAAGTTAGGTTAGTTTAGCACTCAGGAGCTCTTAGTTCTCACAGAGTGCTGAGAAAAATTTCAGAGAAAAAATGGCCAAAAAATGAGCCATTACACAAACACGCTATTTACTATTTACTTTGCACAGTGATATACAGACTGTAACTGTGATGATTTCAATGTAGCTTAGCCATAGTATAGTACAATCTTTTTGTGCACAGCACTTTCCTTCTCTTACACTATATATGCGGTAGCAATGGGGCATTGTCTGTGTAATAAACTCATCAGAATCGCTCGATTTAGAACAGCTGATTGCTCAGCTTCGCTGGTGAAAATGCCCCGTCCGAATCACTTTCCAAAAAATCTAAATTATCATTATCATTATCAGAATTAAAAACATCTGACTAAAACAATTTCAGAGCTTCAGCCGCAGAAAGATGCATTCTGTGACCTGTACTTGTGGTTAGAACATTGGTATTCATGGCACTTAAAAACAAACTTAGAAAATTCACTGTTGAAAAAAAATTTTGCTGTTAATCCTATCAAATTTTGCACGTGTGGTTTAGGCTAGGAAATTAAGCTAAAAGGATTTCGACAGAGTGACGTTCCCTGAATAGTTTAATCGTACCTTCGAACATTAGAAAGTAATTTGGAGGCGTGTGCGAAGCAAAATGTACGGGACACTAGCTCAACGATGGCAGCGTTGTTTGGGCAAAACGGAACTTCTCAAACAATGCTCACACCGTAGCTTGGGCCTCAAAGAGTTAAAGCCATGGTTTTAAAGTCATGTATTCACCACTAAAATCCAGTCATGATTTCACCACTAAAGCCTAGTCATGTATTCACCTCTGAAGTCCAGTCATGTATTCACCTCTGAAGTCCAGTCATGTATTCACCGCTAAAGTCCAGTCATGTATTCACCACTAAAGTCCAGTCATGTATTCATTACTAAAGTCCAGTCATGTATTTACCACTAAAGTCCAGTCATGTATTCACCACTAAAGTCCAGTCGTGTATTCACCACTAAAGTCCAGTCCATGTATTCACCACTAAAGTCCAGTCCATGTATTCACCACTGAAGTCCAGTCTTGTATTCACCACTAAAGTCCAGTCATGTATTCACCTCTGAAGTCCAGTCATGTATTCACCACTGAAGTCCAGTCATGTATTCATTACCGGTCCAGTCTTGTATTCACCACTAAAGTCCAGTCATGTATTCATTACTAAAGTCCAGTCATGTATTTACCACTAAAGTCCAGTCATGTATTCACCACTTAAGTCCAGTCGTGTATTCACCACTAAAGTCTAGTCAGGTATTCACCACTAAAGTCCAGTCATGTATTCATTACCGGTCCAGTCTTGTATTCACCACTAAAGTCCAGTCATGTATTCACCACTAAAGTCCAGTCATGTATTCACCACTAAAGTCCAGTCATGTATTCACCACTAAAGTCTAGTCAGGTATTCATCACTAAAGTCCAGTCAGGTATTCACCACTAAAGTCCAGTCATGTATTCATTACTAAAGTCCAGTCATGTATTCATCACTAAAGTCTAGTCAGGTATTCATCACTAAAGTCTAGTCAGGTATTCATCACTAAAGTCCAGTCATGTATTTACCACTGAAGTCCAGTCATGTATTCACCACTAAAGTCCAGTCATGTATTGATTACTAAAGTCCAGTCAGGTATTCATCACTAAAGTCCAGTCAGGTATTCACCACTAAAGTCCAGTCATGTATTCACCACTAAAGTCCAGTCATGTATTCACCACTAAAGTCCAGTCATGTATTCACCACTAAAGTCCAGTCATGTATTCACCACTAAAGTCCAGTCATGTATTCATTACTAAAGTCCAGTCATGTATTCACCACTAAAGTCCAGTCATGTATTCATTACTAAAGTCCAGTCATGTATTCACCACTAAAGTCCAGTCATGTATTCATTACTAAAGTCCAGTCATGTATTCACCACTGAAAACTCTTTGTTTAACAATTATGTTTCTATATTTTTATTTGTTTACAGACACTGTTCGCTTTATTGATTATGAATATGCATTCTTCAACTATGAGGCATATGATATTGGCAACCACTTTGCTGAGTGGGCAGGTAAACATGATTCATTGTTGTAAGTGTGTTTAGTGTTTCCTGGCAGTTGTTGTGTAGGAGGTATTTGCTCATAGCTAATCGTCAGAAGAAATTTTCACTTTAGTTATGCACCTCGCATCTTATTCTTCTTCTTCGCGTTCACCAGCTGTACACTCTGGCGTAAAGTTCTGGTTGTTTGTCCACTTCTGGACTGCACTCCTGCTCCAGAACCTGAGTGTTGCGTGTGCATCAGTTTTACAGATCTGATTCAATTGAATGCAGACTGCTGGTTCCTTGCCTCTCAGGCAGATGCACTCCGACTTCAAAGGAAGCTCCCCAGTTAGTCGACTCTTACGACATGCTTTTGGGGGGGGCAGTGGGTCTATTCTTGTTTTCCCCACAAAAGGGCCCCGGAACTCACACGGGGGTGCACCTCGCATATTTTGTCTTGTCTAATCTATACTCTAGTCTATCTAATCTAGTCTTGTCTAGTTTAGTTTGGTTGTCAACTGTACCCTAGTCTTTTTCTTGTCTATTCTAGTCTAGTCTGCTGTGTAGTCTTGTCTACTCTAGTCTTTCTAGTCTTGTCTACTCTAGTCTTGTCTACTCTGCTCTAGTCTTGTCTACTCTGTTCAGTCTACTCTTGTCTAGTCTACTCTACTATACTCTAATGTAGTCTGGTTAAGTTTACTTGTCTACTGACCCTAGTTTTCTCTTGCCTAATCTGGTCTAATCTGCTCTAGTCTAATCTACTTTAGTCTAGTCTATTTAACTCTAGTCTGATTTAGTTTCCTTCTCTATCCTAGTCTTCTCTCTCGTCCACTCTTGCATAGTCTTGTCTACTCTACTCTAAGTTTGTCTCGTCCACTCTTGCATAGTCTTGTCTACTCTACTCTAAGTTTGCCTTGTCCACTCTAGCCTGGTCTTTTTAATTATACGTTATAATTTTCTTGTCCACTCTATCCTAGGCTTTTTTTGTCCACTCTAGCCTAGTCTTGTCTACTGTATTCTAGGCTTTTCTTGTCCACTCTAGCCTAGTCTTGTCTACTGTATTCTAGGCTTGTCTTGTCCACTCTAGCCTAGGCTTGTCTTGTCCACTCTAGCCTAGTCTTGTCTACTGTACTCTAGGCTTGTCTTGTCCCCTCTAACATAGTCTTGTCTACTTTACTCTTGGCTTGTCTTGTCCACTCTAGCCTAGTTTTGTCTACTTTAGGCTTGTCTTAACCATTAACTCTAGCCTAGTTTTGTCAACTTTAGGCTTGTATTGTCCACCCTAACCTAGGCTTGTCTACTCTACTCTAGGCTTGTCTTATCCACTCTAACCTAGTCTTGTCTACTCTACTCTAGGCTTGTCTTATCCACTCTAAACTAGTCTTGTCTACTCTACTCTAGGCTTGTCTTATCCACTCTAACCTAGTCTTGTCTACTCTACCCTAGGCTTGCCTTGTCCAGTGTAGCCTAGTCTTGTATACCCTAGCATTTGTCCACAGTAGCCTAGTATGGCCCTCATCTAGTCTAATCTAGTTTTGTTTGTCTGAGCTCAGGTATGGCTGTAGTCAACTATGACCTCTACCCAACTCGAGAAGAGCAGTTGCCATGGTTACGACACTATTTAGACTACAAGGCCAAAACTGAAGGACAGTTCCACAGAGAGATCACAGACAAGGATGTGGAGAGGCTGTACATCCAGGCAAACAGTTGTGCTTGTGTAAGTTACTGTGTCGTGTCAGCTCGAAGTTACTGTGTTCTGACAGCTGACAGTTATGTGATCTGTCAGCTGGAAATTACTGTGTCATGTCAGTTGGAAGTTACTGTGTCATGTCAGCTGTAAGTTACTGTGTCATGTCAGTAGGAAGTTACTGTGTTGTGAGTTACTTTGTCATGTCAGCTGGAAATTACTGTGTCATGTCAGTTGGAAGTTACTGTGTCATGTCAGCTGAAAGTTACTGTGTTGTGAGTTACTTTGTCATGTCAGCTGGAAGTTACTGTGTCATGTCAGTTGGAAGTTACTGTGTCATGTCAGCTGAAAGTTACTGTGTTGTGAGTTACTTTGTCATGTCAGCTGGAAATTACTGTGTCATGTCAGTTGGAAGTTACTGTGTCATGTCAGCTGAAAGTTACTGTGTTGTGAGTTACTTTGTCATATCAGTTGGAAGTTACTGTGTCATGTCAGCTGGAAGTTACTGTGTCATGTCAGTTGGAAGTTACTGTGTTGTGAGTTACTTTGTCATGTCAGCTGTAAGTTACTGTGTCATGTCAGTTGGAAGTTACTGTCTTGTGAGTAACTTTGTCGTGTCAGCTGGAAATTACTGTGTCATGTCAGTTGGAAGTTACTGTGTCATGTCAGCTGAAAGTTACTGTGTTGTGAGTTACTTTGTCATGTCAGCTGGAAGTTACTGTGCCAGCTGGCTGTTACTATGTGCTGTGGAAATTATCATGAGCTGGCGTTACTGTGTGCCGCAGAAATTATTGTGTGTTGGTGTTATAGTGTAAGCTGGCTGTTACTATGTGTGTGGGAAATCACTGTGTGTTGGTGTTATAGTGTGAGCTGGCTGTTACTATGTGTGTGGGAAATCACTGTGTGTTGGTGTTATAGTGTGAGCTGGCTGTTACTATGTGTGTGGGAAATCACTGTGTGTTGGTGTTATAGTGTGAGCTGGCTGTTACTATGTGTGTGGGAAATCACTGTGTGTTGGTGTTATAGTGTGAGCTGGCGTTACTGTGTGCCGCAGAAATTATTGTGTGTTGGTGTTATAGTGTGAGCTGGCTGTTACTATGTGTGTGGGAAATCACTGTGTGTTGGTGTTATAGTGTGAGCTGGCTGTTACTATGTGTGTGGGAAATCACTGTGTGTTGGTGTTATAGTGTGAGCTGGCTGTTACTATGTGTGTGGGAAATCACTGTGTGTTGGTGTTATAGTGTGAGCTGGCTGTTACTATGTGTGTGGGAAATCACTGTGTGTTGGTGTTATTGTGTGAGCTGGCGTTACTGTGTGCCGCAGAAATTATTGTGTGTTGGTGTTATAGTGTGAGCTGGCTGTTACTATGTGTGTGGGAAATCACTGTGTGTTGGTGTTATAGTGTAAGCTGGCTGTTACTATGTGTGTGGGAAATCACTGTGTGTTGGTGTTATAGTGTAAGCTGGCTGTTACTATGTGTGTGGGAAATCACTGTGTGTTGGTGTTATAGTGTGAGCTGGCTGTTACTGTGTGTGTGGGAAATCACTGTGTGTTGGTGTTATAGTGTAAGCTGGCTGTTACTATGTGTGTGGGAAATCACTGTGTGTTGGTGTTATAGTGTGAGCTGGCTGTTACTGTATTGGGTAGATTTTAATGTGGAAAGTGGGTATGATTGAATGAGGGGAAAGTTACTGTTTGAAGATGGTGTTATTTTGTGAGGTGGAAGTTATTATGTGAGGTGTCCTTGTGTGAGATTCCTACCTCTGATGTAGGACTTTCACTTATGAAGCTATCACATGATCTGTTGTTTGGGCAGGCAGCACATTTCTTCTGGGCAGTGTGGGCCTTGTTACAAGCCAAGCACTCCGTCATTGATTTTGATTACATTCGGTAAGTGGGTTTCATATAACTGTCAGTACATAGGTGACTGTCTTTTAGTATTCTACAGTAAAACAGTATTGAGCTGATTTATCTATTTCACTCTTGTTTCCTGTGGGGATCGCAGCCACAGAGATCGACACTCAGTGACTCCAGAAGCCACTGTATGTAACAGGAGCAGAAGCCACTGTATGTAACAGGAGCAGAAGCCACTGTATGTAACAGGAGCAGAAGCCACTGTATGTAACAGGAGCAGAAGCCACTATATGTAACAGGAGCAGAAGCCACTGTATGTAACAGGAGCAGAAGCCACTATATGTAACAGGAGCAGAAGCCACTGTATGTAACAGGAGCAGAAGCCACTGTATGTAACAGGAGCAGAAGCCACTGTATGTAACAGGAGCAGAAGCCACTGTATGTAACAGGAGCAGAAGCCACTATATGTAACAGGAGCAGAAGCCACTGTATGTAACAGGAGCAGAAGCCACTGTATGTAACAGGAGCAGAAGCCTCTGTATGTAACAGGAGCAGAAGCCACTGTATGTAACAGGAGCAGAAACCACTGTATGTAACAGGAGCAGAAGCCACTGTATGTAACAGGAGCAGAAGCCACTATATGTAACAGGAGCAGAAGCCACTGTATGTAACAGGAGCAGAAGCCACTGTATGTAACAGCAGCAGAAACCACTGTATGTAACAGCAGCAGAAACCACTGTATGTAACAGCAGCAGAAACCACTGTATGTAACAGGAGCAGAAACCACTGTATGTAACAGGAGCAGAAACCACTGTATGTAACAGCAGCAGAAACCACTGTATGTAACAGCAGCAGAAGCAGCTGTATGTAACAGGAGCAGAAGCAGCTGTATGTAACAGGAGCAGAAGCAGCTGTATGTAACAGGAGCAGAAGCAGCTGTATGTAACAGGAGCAGAAGCAGCTGTATGTAACAGGAGCAGAAGCAGCTGTATGTAACAGGAGCAGAAGCAGCTGTATGTAACAGGAGCAGAAGCAGCTGTATGTAACAGGAGCAGAAGCAGCTGTATGTAACAGGAGCAGAAGCAGCTGTATGTAACAGCAGCAGAAGCAGCTGTATGTAACAGGAGCAGAAGCAGCTGTATGTAACAGCAGCAGAAGCCACTGTATGTAACAGCAGCAGAAACCACTGTATGTAACAGCAGCAGAAACCACTGTATGTAACAGCAGCAGAAACCACTGTATGTAACAGGAGCAGAAGCCACTGTATGTAACAGCAGCAGAAACCACTGTATGTAACAGGAGCAGAAACCACTGTATGTAACAGCAGCAGAAACCACTGTATGTAACAGCAGCAGAAACCACTGTATGTAACAGGAGCAGAAACCGCTGTATGTAACAGGAGCAGAAGCCTCTGTATGTAACAGCAGCAGAAACCACTGTATGTAACAGGAGCAGAAGCCACTGTATGTAACAGCAGCAGAAACCGCTGTATGTAACAGGAGCAGAAGCCTCTGTATGTAACAGCAGCAGAAACCGCTGTATGTAACAGGAGCAGAAGCCACTGTATGTAACAGCAGCAGAAACCGCTGTATGTAACAGCAGCAGAAACCACTGTATGTAACAGGAGCAGAAACCGCTGTATGTAACAGGAGCAGAAGCCATTGTAGGTAACAGGAGCAGATGCCACTGTAGGTAACAGCAGCAGAAACCGCTGTAGGTAACAGCAGCAGAAGCCACTGTATGTAACAGGAGCAGAAGCAGCTGTATGTAACAGGAGCAGAAGCCACTGTGTGTAACAGCAGCAGAAGCCACTGTATGTAACAGGAGCAGAAGCCACTGTAGGTAACAGGAGCAGAAGCCACTGTGTGTAACAGCAGCAGAAGCCACTGTATGTAACAGGAGCAGAAGCCACTGTAGGTAACAGGAGCAGAAGCAGCTGTATGTAACAGGAGCAGAAGCCACTGTGTGTAACAGCAGCAGAAGCCACTGTATGTAACAGGAGCAGAAGCCACTGTATGTAACAGGAGCAGAAGCCACTGTATGTAACAGCAGCAGAAGCCACTGTATGTAACAGGAGCAGAAGCCACTGTATGTAACAGCAGCAGAAGCCACTGTATGTAACAGGAGCAGAAGCCACTGTAGGTAACAGCAGCAGAAGCCGCTGTATGTAACAGGAGCAGAAGCCGCTGTATGTAACAGCAGCAGAAACCGCTGTATGTAACAGGAGCAGAAGCCACTGTATGTAACAGGAGCAGAAGCCACTGTATGTAACAGCAGCAGAAGCAGCTGTAGGTAACAGGAGCAGAAACCGCTGTATGTAACAGGAGCAGAAACCGCTGTATGTAACAGGAGCAGAAGCCACTGTGTGTAACAGGAGCAGACGCCACTGTATGTAACAGGAGCAGAAGCCACTGTGTGTAACAGGAGCAGAAGCCACTGTATGTAACAGGAGCAGATGCCACTGTATGTAACAGGAGCAGATGCCACTGTGTGTAACAGGAGCAGAAGCCACTGTATGTAACAGGAGCTGAAGCCACTGTATGTAGCAGGAGCAGAAGCCACTGTATGTAACAGGAGCAGATGCCTGAAACTCAGTTCAGGGGTATACAAGAGTTATACTTGGGAACACTGTGGTTACACATCCTTTCTCTGCCGGTGCGTTGGGAAATAAACAGACGGAAAGACTGGCTGGCTTTGCACAACTTGATGGAATATTGATGTCTGATAAGTCAGATGTAGTTGGGGCCTTGTGGGAGAATGGAGCAAATGGATCACCATAGTCTGGTGAGATTGATGCAGCGGGGAGTGACGAGGCTCGATTCTATTCGATTTTCAACACTCAGAGTAAAGGCAAAATGGACGTATAATCAGAATGCTACTGGCACATTGTCGGTATCTGAGGCGTTGCGAATACGCTTTGTAATGCTGGGGTGCCGGGTTCAATCCCAGCTGCAGACGGTTTGTCTTGCGTTGGTTTCGACAGTGGTGCCAAGAGCTGACCATTCAGAAAGCATTGGCAAACAACTGAACGTAAAATTTGCCTAGAAAAACCACAACAGCAGAAAAACACTGAGGTTGGTTCTACTATGTCCTATAAAGGATACGCAACTAACTGACTGGCACCATTGGTGTTGGAACTCTGCGCTGGCTGCTGAAAATGGGGACAGAGCACTTATGAGAATGCCCTGAGTGCTGTGATGTCGGTTCTTGAATCAACTCAACTCAGCTGGTTACAGAGTGACCTTTTGTATAATATGGGTTGGTTGATGTAGTCAGAAAGAAATGATCAGTACCAAAATATTCTTCTTCTCCTGTTCGTTCTTCCTGCCGGAGGAGAAGACGACAGGCCTCTGTGAAATTGTTAGTGTGATGAGTGTTTTCCGCTGTTCCAGACAGCTTGGTTTCTATTGAAATGCCAACCGGTTAAACCTGGCATCTCTCTACGGCAGTGATTCTCAACCTGTGGGACACGACCCCCTTTAGAGGTCTAACAACCCTTTCATATCTATGTCTTTCTCATCAGGTTTTACAAGACAGTGTCAATCAGGACATGTGTAGGCAGCTGGTTTTCAAGCCAGCAGAAAACTGCAGTGACTGCCTCCACCTCCATTCTCAAATTATATGTTGTGGTATCATGCGCCAAACTATGCTGCACCAAGCAACATCTGTTTGCTTTCGATATGAACTTCCATGCACTTTTTCTGCCTCCCAACACAGAGCCTCCTGTGTAGAAAATGACATCCCTGGGGAGGTGAAGAGAATGGTCCTGAATCAGTTGTTGAACCTCTCATTCTGCAACTTCAGCTGGCCAGTCCCTGCACAATTTTCTAAGTGTTTTACACATTAACAACACTGGGGCATGTGTGTAGAGAGTAGCCAGCCTGTCATTCAAAGGGGGCTGCATGGTTTTGGGGCATGGTGTCCGCCTAAAGTGCTAGTGGTTCTGGCTTCAATGCCCGGTAAGGGCTGGGATTTTTTCACGTGGACTCAGACTTCTAGTAATTCCCCCTAGTCTCTGGATAGTGAGATTGGATGCATTGTTGTGCACATAAAAAAGTTCCTTGGCAGTTGGAAATTGAAAAGAGTAGCCTAACGGCGCTGCCCGGGCAAAACTTAAAAGTTAAAAATCTATTAAAAGTATTTCAGGATTCTTGCACCTGCTACAGAGCCTGTGCACTGTGCTGAGCTTCTTTGGACTCAGACTTGAGTAAGAAGAAGATTGGAGCACTTATGGGTTACACCCGTGTGTCATGATGTTGATCCTTTGTTTGAAACCTGGTTCATGGGATTGTATGCACTCTTGTTTGCTCCACTGCTGACATGTAAATTGGATCAACCTGTACATTTCAGATTTGCCAGTATCCGCCTGAGTGAATACTTTCGTCGCAAGAGTGAGTTCTTTTCTATGAAACTGTGATCTGAAGCATCAAAATCTAGTCTACTATTTTCCCAAGAGGCATTTGTCTTTCATGGGATGGGCCTTACAAGTCAGGTAGTTGACCTTCGCAGTCCAGCATATTAACTTTCGGCACGTAGTAACCGCTGCACTCCCACCTCAGCCACCACCATCGTGACCGTTGTCATCATATTCTGGAGTCCTGTTAATTATGATCAAACAAGCCCTCAGGTGTGACTACAAAGAAATCTCAGTTTTGTTTGTGCTTCCTTGTGTTAACTAAATGTAGCATTGTTGCCTTGTATTAACTAAATGTAGCAGTCTTACCTTTTGTTAAGCTAATGTAGCATTGTTACCTTGTGTTAACTAAATGTAGCATTGTTACCTTGTGTTAACTAAATGTAGCATTGTTACTTTGTGTTAACTAAATGTAGCACTGTTAACTTGTGTTAACTAAATGTAGCATTGTTAACTTGTGTTAACTAAATGTAGCAATCTCACCTTGTTTTAACTAAATGTAGCAGTCTTACCTTGTGTTAACTAAATGTAGCATTGTTAACTTGTGTTAACTAAATGTAGCATTGTTAACTTGTGTTAACTAAATGTAGCATTGTTACCTTGTGTTAACTAAATGTAGCATTGTTACCTTGTGTTAACTTAGTGTAGCATTGTTACCTTGTGTTAACTAAATGTAGCATTGCTACCTTGTATTATCTGATTTAGTATTTGTATGTTGTGTTATTTAATTTATCATTGTTACTCTGTGTTGTCCCAGTTGTACATTGTTTCTTTATGTTATCTGAATGCAGCATTGTACCTTTCTGTTGTGTAAAGTTATTTTGTTCCTTTTTTCTTTTTTAAACAAATGTAACAATTTTTCTTTTTGTTCTGTAAAAATAGTGGTGGTACCTCATGTTTACTGAATGTTGTTAGACTGTGTAAGCTAACTTTGGTGGACAAATGTCTACAGAAAATATTGGCTGTTTCGACTGAAAGGTGCACATATTGCAGCAGTGTTGTAAGTAGGCACCATACAGTTACATCCTCGGATAAACGAAGAAGAAGAAGAATGTAGCATTGTTATCTTATATTCGGTGAATGTCATTTCACTACCTAATGTTAACGTATTATTGTTAATGTCATTTTTATACAGAAAAAAAGTCTTGTAAAGTTTTACACTCATTTTTACTATTCAGAGTGTACAAAGTCATTTTACTGTTTTTAATTTTACAATAATAGTTTTATTTATGCATGTTTCTATTAAGAGTAAAATCTAGTAGTCGTTTTACACTAAACATGCACATACTATTGCACCAGTCATGTCTGCATGTGCTGGAAGATTAAACCTTACAAATTTGATTACATGTGCATGTGTGCATTCACTGGAAGACTGGAACTTACATGTTTGATTACATGTGTATGTGTGCATACACTGGAAGACTGGAACTTACATGTTTGATTACATGTACATGTGTGCATACAATGGAAGACTGGACCTTACATATGTGATTACATGTGCATGTGTGTATACACTGAAAGACTGGACCTCACATGTTTGATTACGTGTGCACGTATATATACACTAAAAAACTGGACCTCACATGTTTGATTACGTGTGCACGTATGTATACACTGGAAGACTGGACCTCACTGATTGCATGTGCAAGTATGCATACACTGAAAGACTGGACCTTACACGTTTGATTACATGTGCATGTATGTATACACTGGAAGACCTTACATGATTGATTACATGTGCATGTCTGCATACACTGGAAGACCTTACATGATTGATTACATGTGCATGTATGCATACACTGGAAGACCTTATATGATTGATTACATGTACAAGTATGCATACACTGGAAGATCTTACATGATTGATTGCATGTACAAGTATGCATACACTGGAAGATCTTACATGATTGATAACATGTGCATGTCTGCATTCACTGGAAGACCTTACATGATTGATTACATGTGCATGTATGTACACACTGGAAGACCTTACATGATTGATTACATGTGCATGTATGCAGGTGCTAAAGGATTGGACCTTACATGTTTGACTACATTTCCACAGTTCTTTGTTACCTACCATGTTTGATTTCCTGTTGTACTGACCACACTGAAGTTAATAAACACATAATTTATTTGATTTAGTCTGGTCCTTGATTTTACCATTAATTTTGTCCTGGATTTAATCATTGATTTGTTCTTTAATTCTGTCATTGATATTTTAGTCCTTTATTTAATTATTTATTTAATTAGTGAGTTATTCTGTCATTTAGTCATTGGGTTATGTCATTTAGTCATTGAGTTATTCTGTCATTTAGTCATTGGGTTATGTCATTTAGTCATTGAGTTATTCTGTCATTTAGTCATTGAGTTATTGTCATTTAGTCATTGAGTTATTCGTCATTTAGTCATTGATAATGTTTGACAGAAATTAAAAGGAGGATGGCCATAGCAATGCACAGATTGAACAGTCCTAAAAGTCTGTGGTTAAGCACCAGCAAGGAGATCAAAATTAGGATTTTGAGAGCATGCATCTTCCCTGTGGCTACATAAGGATGTGAGTCGTGGACTATCTCTCAGTCCTTTAGGAAGAGAATAGGGGCTTTTGAGCTGAAATTCTATAGAAAGATTCTCAGAATATCTTGGACAAAGAAGAGGAGAAATACTGACATCAAGGAATATTGGCTAATAAACAGCATTCTGTCTAGGAAGCTGAAATAATTTTGTTCATATCAAGCGCCACGACAGATTGGAAAAGATTATAGCAGAAGGCATGGTACCAGGAAGGAGGGGCAGGGGCCGATCGACACATATATGGGCACAGGATATAAGTGACTCCTTGAGTATGAAAGTACAAGAGACGGGAGAACTGGTGAGAGACCGAGTTTCTTTCAGGTAGACTGTGATGAGAGCGACGTTCTCCAAAGGACCTGCTACATGATGATGATGATGATGATGAGTCATTGATTTAGTTTGATCCTAGAGTAGTCATATTGATTGTTTTCCCTTGATTTAGTCAGTCAGATATTTATACATGTGACTGCACAAGAGAAACCTAATTATGTGTGTGATGTCTCACAAAAGGTCCTGTGACCATGTAGTTTTACTGTGAGTTCTGGATAGCTTCACTACTAGCTCTTAGCACAGGTTACTGAGACTTACAGTTGATGGCAAATTTAACTCATGCTTTGTTGTTAATATTTGTTGTGTGTAGATTCTCCAAAATGCAACATCAAAGATAATAGAACAAACCTCAAGCAAGTTGATATGTTGAAGTACTTGGTTACCCTACCCTGATAACATCAGAGAGAAGATGTATTAAGGAAGTTAAATGTCGAATAGCTCAAACAAAGACAGCATTTGACAAAAATGAAGAATATTTTATGCAATCTTTCTTTGTAAATTGGGACAAGAAAGAGAATTCCTAAAAGCTATATAAATCCTATCTTGATATATGGATGTGAATCATGTACAGGTAGTAAATTAGTGAAAACTTTTTTTGGAAGCGGCGGAGATGTTTGTTTTATAGACGAAATGAAAATACCCATGTACACTGGAATTGAACCACAGACACCAACTGTGTGGTAGAGTTTAACACCACCACCAAGGAAACCACAGACACCAACTGTGTGGCAGAGTTTAACACCATCACCAAGGAAACCGCAGACACCAACTGTGTTGCAGAGTTTAACACCACCACCAAGGAAACCACAGACACCAACTGTGTTGCAGAGTTTAACACCACCACCGAGGAAACCACAGACACCAACTGTGTGGCAGAGTTTAACACTTCACCACCAAGGAAACCACAGACACCAACTGTGTGGCAGAGTTTAACACCACCACCAAGGAAACCACAGACACCAACTGTGTGGCAGAGTTTAACACCACCACCAAGGAAACCACAGACACCAACTGTGTGGCAGAGTTTAACACCACCACCAAGGTAACCACAGACACCAACTGTGTGGCAGAGTTTAACACCACCACCAAGGAAACCACAGACACCAACTGTGTTGCAGAGTTTAACACCACCACCAAGGAAACCACAGACACCAACTGTGTGGCAGAGTTTAACACCATCACCAAGGAAACCGCAGACACCAACTGTGTTGCAGAGTTTAACACCACCACCAAGGAAACCACAGACACCAACTGTGTGGCAGAGTTTAACACCATCACCAAAGAAACTACAGACACCAACTGTGTGGTAGAGTTTAACACCACCACCAAGGAAACCGCAGACACCAACTGTGTGGTAGAGTTTAACACTTCACCACCAAGGAAACCACAGACACCAACTGTGTGGTAGAGTTTAACACCACCACCTAAGAAACCACAGACACCAACTGTGTGGTAGAGTTTAACACCACCACCAAGGAAACCACAGACACCAACTGTGTGGCAGAGTTTAACACCACCACCAAGGTAACCACAGACACCAACTGTGTGGTAGAGTTTAACACCACCACCGAGGAAACCACAGACACCAACTGTGTGGCAGAGTTTAACACCATCACTAAGGTAACCACAGACACCAACTGTGTGGTAGAGTTTAACACCACCACCAAGGAAACCACAGACACCAACTGTGTGGCAGAGTTTAACACCACCACCAAGGAAACCACAGACACCAACTGTGTGGCAGAGTTTAACACCACCACCAAGGAAACCACAGACACCAACTGTGTGGTAGAGTTTAACACCACCACCAAGGAAACCACAGACACCGACTGTGTGGTAGAGTTTAACACCACCACCAAGGTAACCACAGACACCAACTGTGTGGCAGAGTTTAACACCATCACTAAGGAAACCGCAGACACCGACTGTGTGGTAGAGTTTAACACCACCACCAAGGAAACCACAGACACCAACCGTGTGGTAGAGTTTAACACCACCACCAAGGAAACCACAGACACCAACTGTGTGGTAGAGTTTAACACCACCACCAAAGAAACTACAGACACCAACTGTGTGGTAGAGTTTAACACCACCACCAA